GAGGGAGAAAAAACATTTCCTCCCAACTGGGAAAAGGTGGGACGTTCATTTTATGTTGCTGTGACAAATGGCCACACACTCAGCATCTCAAAACAGCACCAATGTACTCCCTTCGTCCCTGTGGGCCAGAAAGGCATCCTGTGGTCACAAAGCCAGGCACTCTGGTCAGTGTCTCACAGAGCTGGACTCAGGTGTCCGTTGGTCAGGGTCAGGCTCACGTGGGGATTGCAGAATTCAGCTCCTTGCAAGTTGTAGCATTCAGCACCCCCACCACCACCCCATCTCTTACTGGCTGCAGGCTAAGGGCTGAAGGAATGAGGCTCCTCGTGAGGTGACCCCTGCTGGCCCCCTCATGCTCTGACTCTCCCCCACCCCCCATTCAGGAAAAGCCGGGTCCATTTGGAGGGAATCACCTGATTTGGTCAGGCCCACTCAGGCTAATCCCCCTCTCAAAGTCAACCATGCCACGTTGTGTAATGTAAGCATAAGAGCAATGTCTCGTCACCCACACTCAAGGGGAGAGGGTCATTTCAGGGCACGGGCCATCAGGGACCACCAGAATTCCTTCTGCCTCATCCTACGTGTGGATACTGGATTAGAGGGTGGGTGGCGAGGACAAGGAGAGCTGCTGCAGTGGGGAGGGTACATCAGAGACAGCCGAAGGTCGCTCTTGCCTCTGTCCCACGGCTTTGGAGTCGCCTTCCCTGGGGTGCCATCTCAGCCATGCAGAATGCTGGGGGACCCTCAGAGTCTACAGCCTGGGAGCAGTGCTGACCCAGCAGGTGACTGTGGGCCACTAGGAAACACTGTCCTGTCAATGCTGTCCCCCTGAGGCCTCCACAGGGGCCCCGCCAGGACACACCCCAAGTCCACAGCACCTCCCACAGCCCCGTCCTCGCCACTGTCCCACCTGAGGGGCTCTGGATGCTTGGCTTCCCCCACCTCAGGCTGGAATCTCGCCCCACCCACCTCTGAAGGTGCAGCCACCTGGCTGCCAAGGTCACAGCCTGGTGGCCTGGGTCTTGAGTTATCGCAGGTGACCGTGGAGCTCCCAGACTGGGTCCCCTACCTGAGTCAGATCCCCGGGCCTCTGTCTAGGCTGTGTCCCTGCCCGTCGGGACACTTGGTGGCTAATGAGGGAAGCTCCTCCTGGATCCTGAGAGCGGGGCTGGCGGGTGAGCCCTGAGCCGTCCAGGCCAGCAGCAGGACACGGGACCCAGAGCCGCTCTCACGCCCAGGAAGAGGCTGTGCTGCCACGAGACCCAAGGTGAACCCAAGGGCGTGTCCCCCCGGCTGCCTGTGGCCTCCCCTTGTTGACACTTCACATGAATCCACTGAATGGGGGACATGGCCAGGGGCCCGACTGGACATCTGTCTTTGGCCTCTCCAAGATCCAGGGAGAGACAAAGAAGAGAGCAGCCTCCGCACCGCAGTCCCTCCCCTGGCCTCCACCTGCTGTCCCCCACCCCAGCTCAGGAACCACCTCCCCAGCAGCTTGGAGGCAGCAGTGTGCCCCGTCCCTGGTGTCCTCGGACCCCTCCGGGTCCCCCAGCCCAGCACTGATCAAGACAGCTTGCAATCGCTCTGGTCCCTTTCTCTTGCCATACCCATGGGGACAAGGACAGGAGGAGCTTTGGTCACCTCTGTGTCGCTGGCATGCCCAGATCCAGGAAGTTTCTGGAAAAGGTGAATGAGCACATGAATGAATGAAGATCCTCTGGAGACCCAGACTCCAAGTCCCGTGGCTGACAGCTGGACTTGGTGGGGGTCGGCGGCTGTGGAGGGAGGTCCCGTGGAGGAGCCCACGCGGGCTTCGATGGCCACATTCACGTCCATCCTCAGGAGGCTGCTGTGGGGTGCAGGGGGAGCCAGGTCCTCTGGAGCCCACGAGGGCAGAGGTCAAGACTGGAGGCCAGAACTCACTTTTCAGGAAGACCTCTGCTGAGCAGGGTGGAGCGCCTGCCGGCGGCCACCGCTGTCCAGAGGGGAGGGCACAGGTCGAAGGAGCCTGCACCCAGAGGGAGATCCTGCCGTCTCTGAGGTCCCCTGTCGTCCAGGATCCTACTGCCCATGCCCTGTGCCTGTGACCTGTGACACCCAAGGGCTCCTGCAGGCCCTGAGGCCACTCCCACTCGCCAGGGCTTCCCCAGGGCCCAAAGCCCAGGATGGGAGCGAAGTGAGAGCTCGCAAGGTGGAGGGCCCCGGGGAGGGTGACAGGGGCCAGAGAGGCCCCAGGGACGGACTCAGGTCCAGTGGGCTGACCGGTCAAACCCCTGCTGCCCTTGGCCCACGAGTCCCAGGCCAGCGCCGTCCACTCCTGGACCTCAAGAGTGAGCCTCGCACGGCACCTGCCACTGAGGCCACTGGGAGGTCAATGGTCTGAAGGCCCTTGCTGATGGGCCCCTTCCTGTCGTCACCAGAGCCCCCCAAAAACCTGCGGTTCTGCTCAGCAGCCGGGTTAACCTGGGCCACTCTCTTCCCTCCCTGAGACAGCCAGGCCCGCGCACACCCCGCCAGCCTGAGGCCCCGCTCTCCTGGGGCCAGCGCCTTTCCGGGCATCCATCTCAAAAAGGCCCTCAGGGGGTCCCTGTCAAAGGGCCCCTGTGTGAGCCTCAAGCAGGGCATTGATAGGGCCCTCGGGGGCCGCCCAGGCGATCGCAGGCCCGCTTGGCTTGGCCAGCGCCTCGGACTTCCCCCAACCCAGCTATTTCCTGCTCCCCGCCGGCCCCCTCCCAGCTGCCTGGCCACAGGACACAATCCCACCATAGAGCCCAGCCTGCCCCCGGGCTCCCGGCCAGCAGTGGGGGTGGGGGAGGACAGGGCAGTCACATCCGGGAGCCCAGGGTCTCCTGGTCCTCAGGACACACAGCCAAGGCCCCTTGGTCCCTTCAACAGGACACAAGGTTGGGGACAAGGCCAATACCCCTCTTCCTGAGACCCCTGCTGGGAATCTCCACTCGTGGGTGCTCCCTGGGAGCAGGGGCCTCTCGTATGGATCTTTAAGAGGCGAAAAGCCTCACAGAGGAGAGAGAGGTCCAGCCTCCCAACAGCCTCCACCGGGGCAGGGAGATGCCTTGAGTCTAATCTCTGACAGCTGTGTGACCTTGGAACGTCCCTCGATAGCTCTGAGCCCCGGTTCTCTGTGTCTTTTGGAGTCACACTTTGTCTGTTGCTCGGGGATCTGATGGAGAACAGAGGAGGCCCTTGGAGAAAACTACCACCCCCCATCCGAGGAGAGCTGGGGGCTGGCGACACTCCCACCCCCACCTCTGCCGCCCTGCAGGACGCCGGCCCCAGCCTGCGCATGCGCCCCAGCCTTCCATCACTTCCTTCCTGAAACAAATCTCAACCGGGGACTTCCTTGGTCAAAGCCCTGCAAAGACGCTCCCATCCCAGGACTGGCTCCTTGACATGGTCCTGGGCATGACATTCAAGGCTGTTTTGGTGTCCTGTGATATGGGGGACAGGTCGGAGCTCACATTGCCCCTCCTCTCTGAGGCAGTCCTTCCCCACCCTTCCCCAGTGGGGGAAGGCAAGAGAGAGGACAGAGCAGAAATTTTTCACTCTTGGATCCAGCCATGCCTGAAGTCCAAATTCCTGGACTTGTCACGTACGGTGAGAGCCAAGAAGCATCGTGGCCATCTTTCGGCACCATCTTCTGGGGGTCATCGACTTGGTTCACTAAGGTTTCTGTTGCTTACAAACATCTTCCTCCTGTGAGTTCTCTTTTAGGATGCTTGAGCCCTCCCTGCCCTCCCCTTCCCTCCACACTGGCAGCCCCACGGAGCGGCCCTGCAGGGAGGTCCTGCGGATCCTGTATTCCCTGGTCCTCGGGACACACAGCCATGTCGTAGCCACCGCCTACGACAGTTTGGCTTCCTGCTGCCCGCTCTCCCTTCGGCCTGGGAGCCTTCTCAGGAGGCTGCTCTGGCCCTCAGGAGCCTGAGACTCAGACTTTCCGTGTGTGGTGTCCACACTGGGCTGTCACAGTGACTAATGGATCTGTCCCCTGCAGTCTGTCACTGGAGGCAAGCCACCCCCAGGACAGGCCCTGGTCTCGAGGGCGGTCTGCGTGCGTGGAGCCCCCACCTGACCTGGAGACATGGGGCTCTCACCTGGTCAGTGTTGGTGCTGGGTCCTGGCACTCAGTGGGCGTGGCCACTCAGTGGAATAGGTGTGCGTGTGTGCCTGAGTGACAGAGGCAGGGGTCCCTCGCCCCTCCTACACCTCCTGCCAGGAGCCACAGGGGCAGGGCAGATTTTCTGGCTGCTCTAGTGAAACCTCTTGGGAGTCACATGCTGAGCAATGGCACGTGGTGTGGCCGCAGCCTCTGCAGTGTCTCCGTGTGGGGCAGCTCCTGGGGAACCTCCTACTGCCACCACGGAACGTCTGGGCCCTCAAGGGTTTGCCCGTCCCACCCAAGTTCAGCAGGTGGATGTGACAATTTCAGGGCTGTATTCTGCAGGACCACAGGTCCCCGGATGGGACCAGCCTGGCAGCGGGACAGCCTGATAGCTGGACTGTGGTCAAGGTGACCCTTGCTTGGAATCCACTGCGATGTGACCATGCTGGGCCCAGGGACCCCAGAGGCGATGTGACCAGGCTGGGCCCAGGGACGCCAGGGGCCAGCGTCTGACTGCAGGTAGCGACGACTCCAGCAAGAGAGTCGTGATCCTGAGCGCCTGTTTCCTGACAGCTTCGGGGTGACGGGGAGACCGCGGGGATTCTCATCTGAATCAACGAGCATTCACCGCCGGGGGGACTGCATTGGCCAGAGTGGGCCGCTGACCTTGGGTCAGTTTGGACTGAGTGACCTGATCAAACTTTATCACTGTTTATTCTGTCTATCACGACTTTGAGTGACAGCTAGGCTGCTGCTTGATGGTTTAAGCAAACTGTGTGAAGAAACTGATTTTACAGAGATGGGGGGAGGCGGGGGCCTCACTGGGGATGGTCACAGACCCGTCCTATAAATGACCACCCTTTACGCACCCACGCAATGGACTGTGGTTTGACCAATTTATTTCGTGGACCTGACCGATGTGCTTCTGTCTGACAGCTGCTGGGTTAGACTGATGGAGCTGCTAGTGGTTTAGCCAAGCTCACTAAATTCAGAACAACCAGTCGTCTAAAATGACTCCTTGCTGGTGGACGTAAGCAGAGCTGTTGGGCTCGATTTGCGGCCTTCAGCCTGACCCAAGGGAGAGTGCCTGGGGCCCGCAGGGGGAGCAGGCCAGCGAGGGGACACAGCAGTTGTCCTGAAGTCGGCTGGTGGTCCACCAGGGCCACCAAAGCAAAGCAGCAGACTATGAGGCAGCTGGGCCCAGATCAGGGCCGGGGCCTGGCGAGGGTCACACCTCTGAGTACGGGGGTGGCGCGGGGTCCCCCTCAGGAGACTTGGAAGGCAGAGACAGGGCTTCCTCGTAGGTCGGCAGGACCACCTGGGAGGGACAGAGAGAAGGGGGCTGACTGTGGTCAGGAAGGACCACGATTCCAACCGCAGTGGAGGGACCCCAACCCCCACCTCTGGCAAATGACGCTGCTCATCCCGACCAGCGCGTCTCGGCACTCACCCTGCGCTAGACACTGCCTGCCTGGGATGGGGTCTCTGTCCCCACAGCGGATACACTTGTTGCCCATTCGGCATCGAGTTCCCCATGTTTGGATGACAAAGCGCCATTTTCCTTGAGGAAACATTCTTAGTCCCTTCGTTTTCCAAAGAACTGGACCATCCTCCAGATCCAGGGGGTGGGTCTGTGGCCTGGGTTTGCTTGGCCAAAGTAGAATGCCATCCCCCTGGCTATGGCCATTGGTTTGGAGAAAAGCATGTGACCTAAACTGGTCCAATCAGATACACTCCTCTTTCTGTTGGACTACCAAGAAGGCGGGATGTAGGCCTATGGGTTCTGGCAGCCACTTTGCCACCACAAGGGAAACGCTGCCTGGAAACAAAGCCAGCACTGAGGAAAGCAGAGTCAAACGATGGAGGATCCTGGCGTCAGGACCAGGCCTGGGCCAGACCCACGGTGGACTTCTCAGTCCTTTGATCTGGAAAGTTCCCTTTTTCACTTAAGTCAGATTGGGTTAGGTTTCTGCCACTTGCAACCAAGCTTGTCTTTATTAGTATGATCCCGCTGCACACGAGGAGCGTGCCCATGGCGGCTCCTCACCCGGCTGCTCCTGAGCACGCTTGGTCCCCCACTGAAGCCCCTTCCCAGCTCCCTGTACCCTTCAAGCAGGGAAGACTGGGCCAGGGTCCCTTCTGCAGGAAGCCTCCCTGACGCTGCCTGCTGCTCTCCCTGTCTTCACACCAAGTCGTGACTGTGTCTCTGAGTCCAGGCTCTCTCTGGACCACACCCGCTTCCAGGGCAGGAATCGGTTTTCTCTGCACCCCAAGTTTGGATATGAAGCCAAGGTGAGAGGTCACCGACGCTCAGGGGCAGGCAGACTCCTACTCAGACCTTCAGAACTGAGAGCTTCACGACCCTTCTGTCCCACCCTTATCTTCAAGTGCAGAAACTGAGGCCCAGAGAGGGAAAGGTACTGGCCCCGAACGGCACAGTGAGAGAGCGGCAGAGCCCCCCTCGGCCCAGCTCACCTTCGGGAGCGTCTTGGAGGCGCCCCTCTCCTCGGCCGAGTTCACGGACTTCAGGAGTCTGTAGCATCTCCACACGCACTTGAGCATGTAGACCTGGACAGGAGCAGGGTCAGGCTGCGCTCCCCGACCCTCCTGCCCAAACCCAGAAGGCAATGGCCTGCTGCTGCCACCCAGCAAGGGGCCTGGCAGGGTGGGCCCTCCAGCCACACTAGCGATGGCCCTGCAGGTCCCTGACCACCCCGGGCAAGGAGCTCACTCCCCAGAGGACCAGCCCATCTCCAGAGAGGGCAGTTAGGAAGCAGGCATCCCTGCCCGTCCACGGAGACCCAGGAAGAGAGGGGAGGTGTGCGGACGGATCCATCGGCTGAGGGGGCCTCAGCGTCTTCTCAGCCGTGGGAGGAAGGACCAGGAAGGGTTTGGGGTGGACATGCTGGGCCACAAGAGACACCCCAAACTGCCCCATGGAAGAGCACCAGCCCCGCCACCTGGCAGGTCCCTTGGTGGGACTTGGATGGCACAGAAATAAACAGAGATGATGAAGAGTGAGAGCAGGAGGGGGAAGGGCCAGGGAGCTCCGCGGGCGGCCAGCAGCCACCCAGGAACCATGGGGCGAGAGCAAGCCCCGAGCCCACTCTGAAGAAGAGAGAGAGAAAGGAGGGACTGGGCTGGAGTTCGGGTCTCCAGTGGGGCGCGCAATGTCACTCCCCACTCGGCTCCACCTTGAAGCCACTCATGCCCCTCACCTGTTTGCATGCCACTGGGAAGCCACTGTCCCCTCCCAGAGAGAATGTTCAAAGGAGTGCAATTCTGTTTTGGGAGAGCTAGACTCTGCCGTGGGCCTGTTGCCCCTGAGGAGACCCTTCCCCTCCTTCTTTCTCCTCACCAAACCTCTACTCATATGACCCCAGGTCCCGTCTGCACGGTGACTTCTGACCCACTTAACACTGTGCTATGGGTCAAGCAGGACACAGATGCCCCTACTGCAGATGAGACCCCCCAGAGAGCCCGACCTGCTGAAGACCCGCCTCGGCTCCAGGCCAGTCTGTCCCAGCCTGATCCCAGATGGTGGCTGGAGCAGAGCGCTCTGGGCTACACAATAAGGCCCTGGCATCTGACACAGGTGGCCCCTGCAGACCTATGTCCTCTAAAGGGGCGTCCCCAAGGATGCCAAGTGGGCCAGAGGGCTAGATAAAGCAGGGAGGGTGAGGACGGGCCCACTTGACGCCTCAGCTGAGCCTCAGACCCCGCCGCGCACCTTCAGGACCAAGACGATGATGAAGGCGACGGAGAAGATGATCATCGTCCTGATGAACTGGCTGTGGGCCAAGCCCTCCTGGCTCGGGAAGTAATTCTGCAACAGAGTTGGGGTCCCATCAGCACCCCAGGTCCTCAGGAGCTCCCGCAGGAACCGTCTGGGCGGGACAGGGAGGCCCGAGCCCTCTGGGTCTACCTCGCCCGGTGGGGGGGGGGGGTCTGCCACGCCCCGAGGCAGCCAGAGGAGCGGGGCAGCGGGCACATCCCCGAGGATGCCAAGTGGGCCAGAGGGCTAGACAAAGGAGGGAGGGCAAGGACGGCCCAGCTGGGGGCACCTGGGCCCCCTGGACGGCCTCGGCTGAGTGGTGGCCGGCAAACCTAGGAAGCAGGTGCGGCTGCAGCTCTGGTCCCTTCCCAGCCGGGCAGGCCACCCTGTGCCCTCCGGGCGGGTAGGAGCCACCTGGCCCCTTGGTACTCCTAGCGTGTGACCCACTGGCGCGGGGGTCTGTCCCTGGGGAGACGCCTTGGGCGGGATCTGCTCTCACACTCTGGTGCTGGCCTCCGCCTGCAGAGCTCCGTCCTCTGCCCTGGTGTGCGGGCTGGACTTGGTGACTCACTTCTCATGAGCAGAACGTGGCAGAAGTGACTGTCCCACATCTGACACAGGCATGGAAGACGTTGCCACTTCCTGCTGCTCTCCTGCCAGGCCGCAGTGGAGGGGAACCAGCAGCCGTGCCATCCGGGCACGCAGCAGCCTAGCAAGACCCACGGCTGGGGACCGGGCAGAGCGCCGGTGGCCATGAGGAGCTCTCTCGGCGCGGGTCCTCAGGGTCCACACAACCCAACCTACATCTTGCTGCACCCTCGAGGGGCCCTGGGTCGGAACAACCTGCTCCCCACCTCCTGATCCTCCAAGGGGAAATGGTAACTGCTTTAAACGGGGATGTTTGGGGACCACTTGTCAGGTGACAATAAAAAAAAGGAAGAGGGAAACTAGTGTTATTTCTGTGGTGCCACCAACAGTCCAGGCCTCCCTCTGGGACCAGCAGGGCCGCTCCCATGGCCACACGGTTGCCTGGCTCCTGTCCTTCCTGGAACCTGCTTCTCGCACTTTGTCCAAGTTTTTTCCTGAGTGGGCTCCCTCAGTGAATCACACACGAGAACCTTCCTCCCAGGAAACCCAAGCATGGAGGCACAGAGAGGCCAAGTAAGTTGCCCCAGGCCACACAGCCAGTGAGCTGGCATGGACCTCTGCCCCAGACTCACCATGTGGTTCATGGACTTGAAGTTGAGATAGGTGGGCACTTCCATATAGGAGCTGCAGAGGGTCAGGATGCTCAGGCAGAAGTCCAGCAGCTGCAGGGTCATCAGGGGGACCTTCGAGGGGCCCTTGGGAAGGCAAATCAGAGAGGAAGAATGGAGACCAGCAAGCAGAGGCCAGATCATTGCAGGGATCTGTCTCAGTAGGAGAGGCCAGTGACCCTCCAGTCCCCAGAGAACCCAGGGAAAGGCCCCCATGGTCACAGCAAGGGCTGGTGGCAGACCCAGAACTATAGAAGGCTCTCTCAGCTGCAGACCAGGGCTCCTCTGTGACAGGGACCCCCGGCCTCTTCCAGAGCAATAATCAAGGACAGTGTGATGAGTAACCTCGGCAGGACCAAGTCTGGCCCCAGCCATGGCCGCGTTCCTGTGTCATTCACTGGTTACCGTCCTCTCCTTCTCTGACTTGGTCCCAAAGGAGGGACAGTGGGACTGGGGCTGAGAAGGACACGTGCCTCCTCCTGGTGCAGACCCAACACCCGCACTGGCTTCACCCAGGCTTCGCCTCCAGAGAGAACCCGGGGCCACGGTGCGAGGGTTTGGGGGGCTGGGGGTTGGGGACTTGCTCAATGACACCACCAGGAAGGGGGCTCCTGCCCTCGCCAGCTCAGCCTTCGCCTCTGGGTGGGGCGGGCACTCACCCCCTGGGGCCGCGAGGAGAACTTGAGGTAGGCGGGCAGCTCAATGTAGGAGCCCAGCAGGGTGAGCAGGCACAGCAGGAAGTCCATGACTTGCAGGGACAGGAAGGGCAGCAGGTACTTCTCCCGGCTCTGGAAGGCAGACCCCGCGCTGTCAGGTGGCCCGGCATGCAGCCGGCATGTCCCGCACAGCTCATGTCCCCTGCGCCCCTTCCTCCCTGGATGATTCCCGCCACTCTGCCCCCGTGCTGTGCAGATGCAGCTGGGAACAAAGTCACAGCAGGAGTGGCTCCTGGAGTCTCACGCGGGGTCTCAAACTGCCTGGGAGGCGACCAAGACCCCCGACTCGCACCTGCCTGCAGCCCCCTCTGCTTGTCCCAGTGCCCAGCCCCCCGCCTGCACAGGACGGGCCCTCTTCCTGGGGACACTGTGGCGAGATGGGCTTCCCGCTTCTCCAGGGCCAGGGGACCAGGGCGGGTCCTCTTCTGCAGGAGGTGGTCTGCCTCCGTCCCCCACCCAACCTCGCCAGGGCCTGGGAGCCCCTCGCTCCACCCTGGGCCACAGGGTCGCTCCTTCCTCCCCGGTGAAACGCGGAGCTCTCTGGGAGGTCCCAGCACCTGGGTCCCGCTCTGGGCCGTCACGAGCTCATCTCCTGCTCCCCACAACTCAAAGCCACCCCTCCTCTCCTCTGCCCGCCCTGGCAGCTCAGCCACATGTGGGCCAGCGGGCAGTTCCTCCCTAGCGCCAGGTCAGCACAGCAGCCAGGCACCTGACCAGCCAGGGAGCCCCACAGGGCCGGGGCTCCCACAGCTAGGAGGACCCCACAGTGAGGCTGGGCGCTCCTGAGGCACCCCCACCCACTGGGCAGCCGGCTGCACGGCCCAGCAGAGGTGCAGGGCGGGCAACGGGACTCCTGGTGCCCACCCGCCCTCCCTCCCGCCGCCCCTCACCTTGACCACGCCGAGCAGCAGGCTCAGGCTGATGAGGAAGAGCAGGCCGATGAGCAGGAAGCTGGACACCAGGTCGGCTGCAAGGCGAGGGGGCCGTGAGGCCGGGGCTCGGGACCAAGTCCCGCTCCGAGTGCACCGATGAGGGCACAGGAGCAGGAACAGGGGGCCTGCTCTCTGCACCCCACCTTGAGGACTGGGGGCACACAGACAGCCAGGACCGTGCAGCCAGGGTGGGCTGGGGGCTGGCCGGGGTCGCCTTTAGTCGGGAGAGGCCCTTGCAGGTGTCCCTGAAGAGGGACTCTGAGTGACAGAGTGGGCCACGAGCTGGGGTGCAGGGGTGGGTCGGGGTGTGGTGTGGCCGGGAGATGAGCCGCAGGGAGCACCGCCCGAGGCCTGAGGCGCCGGCCCCTGCAGGGAGCTCTCCGCTGCCCTGCGCCCCACACTCGGCGGCCACAGGAGGGCATCCCGAGGGCAGGTGGAGTGGCAGGGGCTCCCGGGGAGGGGTTTGGCAAGGTCATCCGAGAGGGTGTGGCAGGACCCCAGACCCCCCCGCCTGCCCCTGGCCAGTCCCCCTCCCCTCCTCTGCCCACCCCGTCCTGGACCTACCGATCCTGAGGTAGACGGTCTTGGAGAACCTGCAGGAGGCCTTGCCACGGGCCACCTCCACGGTGTGCTCCACGAACAACAGGACACTCATGATCTGGGGCGGAAGAGAGGGCAGTCGGCCGGCTGGCATGGCTTCCCCACCGCCCCCTCTGGCCCCAGTGCAGCACGGTCAGGGGCCTCGAGCAGGGGTCCTGGGGTGGAGGCCCAGGCAGAGTGGACTTCACGGAGCAACAGCCCAAGCTCATGATCCTGGTCCTTCCTCTTCCCAGATCCGCGACCTTGGGCAAGTTGCTTGACCTCTCTGTGCCTCGGCTTCTCCATCTGCAAAATGGGGCTGACCCTAGCAGCCACCTCAAGAGGCCACTGAGAGTCCTAAATGAGCAGCGCTCAGACCAGCCCTGCTCTCGGGGACACTGCCACGGCTGAAGGTCAGGGGTGGGGGTTGGGGATGAGGGTACCAGAGGCTCTGGGCATCACGGGGTCACATGTGAGCTCCAAGTTCCCCGAGTCATCGACGCAGGCTGGGACAGCCCTGGAGGGTGCCTGGTCCCTGAATCTCCAGATGCCCGGGCAGCCCTGAGCCCGCGGCCCCACTGTTTCAAAATAAGGACAGTAGGAACATCTGCTCCAAAGGGCGCGCGGGCCAGGCGGGCAGACAGTCAGCACCGAGCCACCAGGCTCAGGCCCAGGCGGGGAAGGTCCCCTCTCTCCTGCTCACAGCTCTGGCTGTGGCATCTGTTGAATGAGACCCCGTCCCCTCAGGGACCTTGCTAAGAATGGTGGAGAAAGGGCCGAGCCGATGGCTGGGTGCGGGGTGGCCCTGCCAGCAGCTGAAGCCCAGCCACAAAACTGAAATCTGGAAGGCCCTTGGGCCCATGCAGGGGTCCTGCGCCACACAACCTCCACTATAATGCTTCTAGCCCAGGGGCCTCACAACAGTCCCTGTGTCCGTGTCCTGACAGTCCCCCCCACACACACACAAGCACACAATTCTCCAGGAGCAATCTGCCCATGCTGAGAACAAGATTATCCCCTCCATTGTAATGGGTGCTCTACCTCTATTAATATAGCCTAAGTTTACACTGACTTTCTAGTGTCCCTGCACCGGCAACGCATGCTCAGCCAACAGCAACCAGACAGCCACCATCTGTTTCCCCCTGCTGACTGTGCGGTTTTTTTTTAGCTCAGACACAGATCTCGATTTGTCTTCCTGCCACAGTACATCCTCCCAGGGGGTCCGAAAGACACAGCACAGAAGGGTGACAATGAGTCGATCCTAAGCCAGACTGAGAAAGTCACTATGTGACCTTGGACAGGTCACTTTCCCTCACAGAATTCTCTCATCTGCAAAGCAAGCCTGGCAGGCTCAGGGAGGATCCACCGCGTGGTGTTTGCGGAGCACTGAGCGGGGTCTGCGGGGGCCGGGGGCCACGGGGCTCACTCCAGGGGCCGCTTTACCTGGCGCAGCAGGAACCAGGAAGGCGGGGTCCTGTCGGGAGGCCCAGAGCAGCCCCGAATGGACAGCAGGTACGGCGGTGGCCGGCACCTGCAGGAGAGCCCCAGGGGAGGACAGAGCCCGTCCCCTCCTCCTGGTCTCACTGTTGGTGACGGAAAGGGAGAGGAGCCGACGGGAGTCCTGCAGGTCTGAGGGGACAAGCACCGTCCCGGGGTGGACCCCAGGCTGGCCCCCAGTGACCGGGGAGGCCCAGAAGCCCCAGGCCTAGATTTCCAAGGCCACGGCCCTCGCCCTCCCCTGGAGCCCTTGGGGTCTACTGGACACAGCATGCTCCCCTGAGCTCGGGGCAGCTGGGCCAGGCCCTCGGGTCATCCTGAGGCAGGAACCAGCTTCTCTTCTCCCACGACATCCATCAGACAGCAGCTGCCCCCCCCCCCCCCCCCGGCTCCTAGCATCCGAGATGCCGGCGGGGGAGGCCCTGGGCCCAGCCCAGGCTCTGCTCCTGAGAAGCCACTAAGGCCAGGCCTCAACTCCCACCAGGGAGTGGGAGGGTCCCGCCAGGCCTCCCAGGGTCACTGCGAGGTCAACAGCAGGTGCAGCAGGCGGGCACTGCGGGCAGCGCCATCCTGTACATGGGCATCCATTCACTCCTTGTAAGCACTCTGAGCACCGAGCACCCTCAACTCCATCCACCCACCCCAGCCTGTAGATGTCACAGTCTCAGAGGACCCAGGGGTGACGAGTATTCTAAGAGCCACAAAAGGGACACACTGGGACTTAGGGTCCCTGGTGAGGGACAGATCACTGCTGCTGGGATGACTCAGAGACAGTTCCACCCTCTTTGCTCAACCCTTGAGCAAGGCTCTGAAGGAGAGTAGGAGTTTCCAACCGAGAAGACAAGAAAGCATTCCAGGAAATGGAGCAGCATGTGCAAAGGCCCAGGGGCCAGGCAGTATGGACACTTGGATCCTTCCAGGAAAGATGTCTCTTACCTGAGAGGGGGATGTTCCCAGGGGGGAAGTGAGGCCCAGAGAGAAACAGTGACCAGCCAAGGTCACACAGCAAGGCCTGCTGAGTCAGAATGAGCTTAGCCCTCCTGACTCCAAATCCGGGCTCCGGCTGCTGTCCCCACCTGGCCGGCTGCCCCTTCTCTCTCCACTCCCTGTTCCGCTTTCCACCTCTTCCCTCTGTTCTCCGCGTTTCAGTTCCCATTCCCTAAGCCGAGCAGGGGGAAGTGGCCAGGAGGCAGGAGATCTCTGTTTCTCTTCCTGGTGTCTCCAGGAGACCCACAGCTTGAGCCCAAAGAAGAGGCTGTGGGAGGAGGGGCCGAGTGGAGAGGCCAAGGGCCCCTGGGGAGGTGTTGGTGGGTGGCCTGGGATGTGGCCTGCTGGGGGTGACAGTGGCTGCAGTGATGCTGCTGGAGTTGGTGTGGACACTGGTGGCCATCAGGGGACACTGGGAATGTTTGGTGGTAACGGTGACACTGGGTGTGGCAGTGGTGGCAGTGAGGCAGTAACGCCTGTGGACATCCTGGGAGGCAGTAGGTAGCCACAGGTCAGTGGGGAAGATATTGCTGCTGATGTCAGCTGCCGTCGTGATGGGATGGTGTGATGACAGCCTTGCAGGTCGGGGTGGTGGCATCAAGCTCCCCAGTGCTGGGGTTCAAGGGCCAGTTCCCTCTGCGGGGGACGGAAGACGGCCGCTGTGCTGGTCCTGCCCGGGCCCAACCCCCACCGTATCACAGGAGGCGCCAGAGACCCTGCGACTGGTGGGGCTAAAACTTGCAGAGAAAGGCCCCAGCTGTCAGGGGACCCTCGCCCTGTGCCACCGGTAGGGGATACTCCCGCAGCTGCCTACAAGGAGCTTTGCAGGAGGACCACAGACTCCGCCTGCACAACTGGGCGGAAGTTGCCAGGGGCCCGGCTCCACCCACCTGCAGAGGGCACAGCCTGCCAAGGGCGCCCAGGGCCACGCCCCTGTGCCCAGCTCCCCCTCTGCAGCTCCGCCAGCGCCCCGGGTCCAGGTCCAGGTCCGCACAGGGCGGGCCTCAGCCTCCAGGGCTGCTGCACACTTGGGCCCTTGGGTGGTGACCGTGGCCCTCCCCACCGCCAGCAGCTGCCCACCCTGCTTTGTTTGGAGGGGGATGCAGGAGCCAGGTGCGTGGGGGCTGGGGGGCCCCTCCGGGCCCTGCTTCCTGTCGCAGCTCATCAGGGGCGGAGGGGTGGAGGCGTTCCCCCAGAGCTCTATCTCCCCAGCCCCCCTCCAGCCACCCAGATACCATCGCGCTGCCCCGTCCAGGGCGTCACACCAACGACAGCTCAGCCAGAGGCCCCGGTGCCCCAGGGACGTTGCGCTCCCCTCTGCAGCCTCCTCACCAGGCCCACCCTCCTGAGACTGACTGTCCCCTCGCTACCGGACCCCAGGGCTCCTGTACCACGGGGAGAACTCCAAGGCAGCCACAGATGCCCCGTGTGGTCCTCGCCAAGTCACTTTACTGCTCCAGGCCTCGGTTTCCCCACCTCCGCCACCTTAGAGAGTGGCACATGAGGTGACATCTGTCTGCCACCACAGACAGTGATTCAGAAAGATGGGCTGAGAGCCAGGGCACTGATGTACAGCCACCAGACCAGGCCCTGGGAACCAGCCAGCTCCATGTGTCAGAGAGCCACCCCCCACCCCCCAGTCAGGCTGGTTCCCACCGTGACATAGGGCAGCAGCGGGGAACAGCCAGGGCACAGAATGGGACTCGCAGCCTGAGGCTGGTCAGAGCCCAGAGCCCTGGGTTCACCGGCCGCGCCTCAGTGGAGGGTGGGCAGGCGGGCAGTGCCCGGGAGGAGCCTGGGCCCGGGGCTACCCTGTGCCACTTCTCAGAGTTCTGAGGCGTGCGCACCTCGGTGAGTTTTTCAAGATAGCATCTGGGGTGTCTACGCGCGTGCCCAGGAAATTATTAACTGTTTACAAAAATGAGAAAATAAACTAGATCGGCTGGACCTACCAGGTGCCTGGCCCCAGTGGTTAGGAGAGGGATCAAGCCAAGCCTTAGATGAGACTCGGATCAGAGCACAGGACACACAGGGACCCAGCATGTAGGGCTCGGGGACCCAGGAGAGCTCAGGGTCTGAGTAGGGGCCCACAGAAGGCGCCCCAGAGGAAGCCAGTCTCACAGATCTCCCCAGGCACAAAAGAGGGGCCTTCCAGGCAGAGGCTCAGCATGAGCAGAGGCCAGAGTGTGAGGAGCATCCGGGAAACTGAGAGACGTGTGCACAGTCGGTCCTTGGCTGTGTGGCTGGGAGTGTGGGGGTGGGGTGGGGGACACGGGGGTAAGGACTCGGGCTGGCAGGAGCACTCCAGGAGGACCCAGGGCTGGTGCAAAGGCCCTGAGGGCAGCAGAGCACAGGCTGGATGAGCTTGGACAGGCCAGAGGCCAACCGCATGGGCACAGGAAACGGCCAGCTCCAGCCCACGCCCTGCCCTGCGCAGCAAGGCCGCTGCCCGAGGAGGGTGGTTCCTCACATCTTCCTCCAGGGGCAGCCATTTGGGTGCTCAGAGATAGTTTCCAGCCTTGGCCCAAAGCCTCCCCTCCCTCAAAGTCCACCCCACAAACAGTCGCCTAAAACCATCGCTTCCCTATTTATCTTCAGAGAAAAGACCCGTGGCAACGGCAAAAACCATATCAAGACCACCCAAGCCGTGGCTGGACGCCAGGCCCTGGACCCGCCCCCCTCCTCCCGCCGTGGCAGTTTCTGCTGAAATTCTCACTTTCCCCCACTTTGCAGGTGAAATTAAACCCAAGCCTTTATATGTGGTCTCTGTGTTTTAAGAACAAGACTCCCCCTGGGTGTGACAGGGGACCCTGCCCCACTGCTGCTGAGAAGACTGCCCCTCCCCTGCCTCCCTCTAGAAGAGGACCCCTGGGTTCTTGTTCTTTATCTACCATTAGCTGAGAAGTTGTTTGGCCTCCCTGAACCTGTTTCCTCTTCTATAAAATGGAGGCTGGTGGCGGTTGTCCTGTCTATGCTGACATGTAGGACACCAGGGGAGGAACGTGAGCCTGAGACGGACCTGGGCCCTGTCCTGAGCGGCCTGAGCAGGCTGAGGCTGCGCACGCGCTTCCTGCCCCCCTGAGGTGTCTGCACCCGCTGCCTCAGGCAGCATGAGCTCAGAGCCAGGCCCTGGTTCTGGGTGGCTGCTCTAGGCTCAAAATAAAAGCCTCATTTCCTGGGGAGCTCAGAACTGGGGCGAAGATAGAGAAGCCTCCGTGGGGACCAGCCCTGCCCTCCAGCTGCGGGCCACCTCAGTGGGCCCAGCACCTCCACCTGGGGGGACACCTTGGGCTGATGCCTCTCCAGCTGTGCCCCTCTCACAGCAGTGGGTTCTTCCAGCTAAGGTGACCCCTAACCCCTGGGGCCACCACCCTCCTCCCATTCCCAGACTCCCCTTTCCTCTGACCTTGGGACTGAGAACCATGAAGTGGGGAGAGGACAGGGGCCTAGCCTGGGTCTGGCCTGTCCTAGGTAGAGTCACACAGGTAAGTGACCATCTTCACTTGGGCCCCCAGGCCTAGTGCAGCAGACCTTGCTGCATATCACCCCAGAGCCCCTTGGATCCTGCTGGTGCTCACCCCTGGAGGGTCTGTGTGCAGCTCGGAGGTGGGGGCTCCAGAGATGGGTGCAAACTCAGCTGTGTCCCTGGGGAGAGACCTCCCCCACCAGCCCCCCCCCGACAAGGGCTCAGAGCTGTGAAGGCCAAAAACAAGGCCTCGGGGTCCAGCCCAGCGGCACCAGGCGTGAAGCTGGCAGACCCCAACAGCCCCACACTGGGACCCCAGCCGGCAGGTGGGGCCGAGTTTGAGGCCTCAGGGAGATGAGCTTTCAAAGGGGAGCGGCCCTCAGTCGCTTCCCACAGCCCACTCAGGACACGCACCGGCCAGACCCTGCTCCACCTGGGTCGCCTCAGCGCCACACTTGGGAGAGGTCACCTGGAGGCCAAAACCACTGGCCTCATTCAACAGACGAACACCCAGGCCCAGGCAGCCATGGCACCTGCCTGCCAGAGGCCTGGGGTCAGTGAGTGACGGAGAGGGCCTTGGCTTTCCAGTCCGAGGGACCACAGCCCCCAGAGCAGAGCAGAGGGAGGAGCCTGGGAGTTTGAGGACACGTCGAGGACTCCAGGGAGCTGCCTGGAGAGGACGGCAAAGCAGAAATGAGCAGGGGAGGCCGGGGAGTTCGGGGAGGGCCCTCCCGACAGCCAGGTCCCCGCCACAGGAGGGCCAAGGATCTCTTTTGTCTACTCCCTGGCTTGCGGCTCAGGCCACACATGTGTGCAGGCAACAGCGGCCTGGAGGAGGCAACTGGCCCCCACGTCCCCCATGTGGCTGGAGCAAGTCAGGCCCTGCTGAGCCTGCGTCTTCCCCGGTAAGAGGAGCAGACCCTTCCTGCTGGCTGCGAAGCCCCAGGCATGAGGGATAGGGTGTCTCACACTCCTCCCACACCCGGTGGCTGTCCCTCTGCAGCCAGCCTGGCCAACATCCTGGCTCCTCCAGCACCCCACAGCCTCTTGTCCACCACCAGGCCTCCGCTCAGACCCTCCCTCCACCCGTGTGCCCTGTCCCGGCACCCAGGCAAAGCCCTGCTCCTCCCCGGGACCCAGCCTCCTCCGGAAGTCTTTCCTGGATCCCCACACATCTGCACCCCTCTACCGTCCCTGGCCACTCCACAGCTGTCCTTGGCACAGTGGAATCCTTGAGGGCAGAGGCCGAGAAGGTGCCGGGCCTGTCCCCTGGCCTGTCCCCTGGCCTGGGCGGGGCTCCTGAGGTGGCAGAGCATTGGACTCCTCGTTAAACAACAGGCTGCTGACTGTTCTTCCCAGTTTAAGAAGCCGAGAACTTGAGCAGCAAAGCAAAGCAGAACAGTTGGATTGCCACCCAGAGTCTAACGCAAACACCCCGGGTCCCCACCGACACCGACAAAAGAAGTCACTAATGTGAATGACAAGTGGGGAGGACAGGCACCGTGGGATCCCAGGGGCTGGGCATGGCTTCCTGGCCTTCCAGGAGGTGGAGCCCTCCTCGAGGTGGGCCTCAGCGACTCTCTCCCCACGCTCGCAGCATGGAATGGGAGGAGACAGCTGACGGCACTGCCTCGGCCAGGCAGTCAAGGTCACCGTCACACGTCCCCTTGGTGTGAAGCACTGATGGCTCTTCACACCTGTGGTCTCCTCCCAAAAGCACGGTACCCTGGGCCCATGGTGAGGGAGCCACCAGGCCAGTCCCAGTTGAGACAAGTCAAGGAAGTGCCCGCCAGTGCTCCTCAGAGCCAAGGTCATCAAGGACCAGGAGGAACGAGACCCACCCTGGCCCAGAGGAAGCGGGAGTGTGTGCCAGCTGCGTGCCCCATCCTGGTGGGCCCCTCTGGGGACCCTGGAAGGAAAGGAGACCAGGAAAAGCCAAGAGGTTGTGGCCGACACCTGGACCCTGGCTAACAACCTGTATCCACTGTGGTCGTCGCTTGGGACAAACCTCTGTACCCTGGGGGACGCTGACAAGAGGGGAACAGGACACAGGGAACTCTCACTATGATTCACCGTTTTTCATCTAAAACTCTTGCAAAATAAAAAGTCGACTTTAAGAGTCCACGCGTGCTCATTGTACCAAATGTGGGAAACTCGGAAGCGCCGGGGAGCGGAGCCAGACCCCGGGCGCCGCGTCCTGTCCCACGGTCAAGTCCGCGCAGGTTCTTCTCACAGCAGAACTGGGGCTCCACCCGACGGTGCTCTGTTAGGATGGAATTCCAGGTTCAGGGGTGGGGGGGTGAGGCCAGGAGAGAGGGCACCAGGAAAGTCTCCTCCGGGGTTCGCCTCCTGCCACTGACTTAGGACATTAGGGTCAATGACAAGCCTGGACTTGAAGAAGGTTCTCTGACTTCTATGTGTGCAAGTTCAGGTGCCCAGAGAATCCTCTAAACAAACCAAAATCTCCCAAAGAAGGCGTCCCCCCTCCCTGCCCCCCAGAAGCTCAGCACTGGCTTCCCCCCCTTGGACACCAGAGAGCCTTCCCGTAATGACACCCCGGGCCTCAGTAAAGCTGTCTCAGGACGTCAATGGCCCAATTTAACTCTCCCCAGAGAGGCCAAGTCCACAAATAGCTTGCAACGTATGCTATCGTCACTCATGGCTGGCTCCAGATGACGACCAACATGGCAATTGGCACACCTGGATGACAGTTTCTCTTTTACCATCCAGATGTTCAAGGTCCTGTCAACGTATCTGCCACCGACAGCTGGGCCACAGGACAGCCCCTGACCCCTGGCCTTTCCCAGAAAGAGAAAGGGACCAAAAGGTACGTCCCCCTGGAGTCAGCCAAGGACCTCAGCCAGAATGAAGCTCCTGGACAGGACATCCAGTCGGCAGGCTACCCCCCTGTTCTCACGCCTCCTCTGGCTCTGGAACATTCCATGGCTCCCTGTGGCTCACATTACAGGCATGGTTCTCAAGTGGGAGTGACTGTTCCCCGTGGCTGGGGCCCTGATTGATGGGGAGGGCAGCATCTCTGTTGGCAGCGGGTCACGCAATGCACACATCCACCCCTCTCAACAAAGAACTCTCCAGACCCAGCCATCGATGATGCACCATAGAGAAGGTCCAGATTCATAGCTTGTCACTCACAGCCCTCATCACCTTCTCCACTCCAACCCCCAGGCTGGTCTCCATAGAGCCCTGCCCAAGCCCCGCCCCCCACTGACACACACACACACACACACACACACACACACACACGCACCCTGACACGCCAGCTTCTTGTCCGTCCAGGTAGACTCTGCGCCTCCCACAGTGCCACCACCTCCGAGAAGTGACCCACACATTCTCCAGTTTGTGCGTGGGGACTGGATGCGGCTTGACCATTTCCGGGTGAGGACCTCAGGGTTGAGAAGAAACCTCAAGAGATGCGCTGCCCTGAGGTCTGCCTCTGGTGAGCCCTTTCCCCGGCCGCGGCCACCAACACTGAGACCTCAGAAGGCCGACAGAAGAGCCTGCTTCCCGCTTCTCTAAAAGTCAGAAGAGCAGCTGCCGGTGCCCGCAGTCCCCCGTGGTGACAATGAGCAGAAATGAAGAGCAGCCGCCAGGGAACATGGAGCCGGGCCCCCAGGCCACCGCAGGCCCACCTGCCCACAGGAGCCCCACACGGGCTGTCTGCACCCCGCCGTCAACACCCCGTCGCCTCTGACTTTCTAAAGAGGAAACAGATCAGAGACAGGTGGCCTGAGGCCACACAACCAGGCAGTGGCAGAGCTGGGGAAGGACCCAAGGACCTCTTGCAGGGACACCTCTGCCAACCTCACCGTCCTTCTGAGAATACTGCAGAGTCTCAGAGACTGAAGGCCCTAAAGACTAGACATGGGGACAGTTGAGGTGTCATCTGCCACTCCCAGCGCTTGCATGGGCAGGAGCTGACCAGCACAACCTCTGCCCTCCTCTCAGAACAAAAGGGGCGACCCTGTTGGAGCACCATTCATAATGAAACACGCGACCGTGCAGCACCCGGTAGAAATGAGCTCCTTGTCTTCACGGCGACCCTATTATTGTTTGCTTATTATTTTCATCCCCATTGGTTAGATGAAGAATGGAATCAGAGAAGGTAAGTAAGTTGGCCAAGACTGCACAGTACAGAAGCAGGGAGGCCAGATGTATACACAGGGGTCTGGCCCCGAGGCTGTGTGCTAACCCTTGACCGCACCAGCCCTGAGGGCCAGCTCTTCCCACAGCCCTGGCCACGCTGCCTGCAAGCACAGCTAAAGCAGCCAGGTCTCAGGGTGTGCAGCAGGCCGGAGCGGCTTGCAGATTTAGGCTGATTTTGAGGAAGTTCTTTCAGGCCGATGAGAGAACTATCAGCCACAGGCCGTGCCTGAGTCACCCTGGCAGGAAGGTGCTGAGTCTGGGGGAGCTGGGTGTGGCCAGAGTCGGGGGAGGGTGTGGATCGGGACAGGACAGAACAGGACCCCAAACTTCAGCCACCCCAGACAAGAAAGAGCCTTGACTCTGGGGGCTGTGACTTGCCCAGAGTCACACTGAGATGACAAAGACAAAGGCTTCCTGCCGCTCAGCACACAGCAGCCCCCAGAGAGGAGCCCCCCAGTGCCACTCCCGCTGGCTGCACAGTCGCTGAGCCGGCCAACATCTCCCTTTGGTGGCAGAGGCCATGGCTGGGCTGAGCCCTAGGCCAAGAGGGCTTGGCTCCCTCCCATAAGAAGCACGAAGGGGACAGTCCGTGTCCAGCCCGTGTCCAGCCCTTGTCCAGCCCATGTCCAGACCCTGGGGCAGCGCAGCCTGTCCAGGCCCAGTGCAAGAATCAGAGTCTCCAGGGTCCCCATTTGTCGGGGAGAATTGAGGCCCTGAGCTGGAAGGGATGCCCAGGGTCCAGCAGAGAGGGGGCAGGCAGCAGGTGGCGGGGCTCAGCAGGCGCCACACGCGCACACACACACACACACACACACACACGCCCAGCACACGCACACGCACCTCGCCCGGGAACCACACACTCACCACATGGTAGATGGCCAGGGCGGTGGTGACTACCCGGACATTGAAGCAGCAGCAGGTCTGGCGGATGGGTGCCGCGCGTGGGGCCATGATGCCGCTGTCCCCTCCTCTGAGTCACTGAGGGGGAAGGAGCCCAGCGCCTAAAGCAGGGCAGAAAAGGGGAAGCTGCAGGCTGCCCGCCTCACTTCCGTCCTGCCCGCAGACAGGCAGGGGCAAGGTCGTCACAACTGGGGCGGGCAGCTCTGCAGTGGGCGGGGAAGGACAGCAGCCTGCTTCAGAGGACCCAGTCAGCCTTCGTCACTCCCAGGGACCTTGGGGGAAGGCGGACCCCTATTCCCTCCCTACCTGCCCTTTGCCAGATCCAGACAAGCAGCTGCACACACCCTACTTCCTGGATGCTCACCACCACCCCTGGAAGCCAGGATGGTGGCCAAGTCCATTGCTAGTTAAAAAAAAAAAAAACAGAGGTCCAGAGAGGTCAAGGCACTTGCCCCAAATCACACAGCAGTTAGTGACAGGATTCAAACCTAGGTCTGTCTTGTTGTAGAGAAAGCCATCGTCCAGTCAACGGTGCCCTGTGTTCTAGGCTTGCACTGCATAAGCTCCCACACTCCTCCTCTCCACCCTTTGAAGGAAGGGCTATTATTATCCCCATTTTACAACTGAAGAAACTGAGGCACAGAGAGGGAAAATTACATGTCCAAGGTCATTTGTCCAGTCAAAGAAGGAGCAGGATTTGAAGTAGAATGACTGCTTCCAGAAGTCACTCCTAGAGCTGAGGGTCTTCCCATCACTCCCAACTAGGTCAGGAGGAGAATTCCTACGCAAAGCCACCCGGAGTCAGACCCAGACCCGGGCTCTCCCTTCGACTCACCTGTAACTCCTCATGGCAATCTGCAAGACCTCGTGGAACCCGCTTATGGGCCTCAAGCCTCCCTGTCACAGGAAATCAGGGGGTTCTTTTCCTCCCTGGATCTTAGGAAAAGTTGGAATTCGCCCCGCTCACTCGCAACATAGCAAACAGCCCAGGAGCAACTGCGGGGAAGCCCCGCCCTCCCATGGCATCACAGAGTTTGGATTGGACACCACAGCAGCCCATCATTTCTGCCCCAGGAGAGGTTATAAAAAGTCTCTAAGCCCCTTTGCCTTGGCAAAAGTTGCTCGGTCGTGCCCATAAAACTAGGCTGGTAGACTTGATCTAACTTTTTTCTGTCAACCAATGAGACCAAGAGGACTCTGCAAGTTTGGGGTTCCTGGGAAATGCAGCCAGAACCTCTCCTACTTCATTTCCAAGCCTGTTTCTTTTCCTTCACAAGCTTTGCTAAGCCCTAACATCTCAGCAGGGGACTTGGAGCAGTAATTACCCTTGCTTGAATGCTGGCTCCTCTGGCTGGGTAGCCAAGGCCACGAGAAAATCTGCAAAGCCAGGGGAACTAGAGGGTCAGAAAGCGGGGGTCAAGAGAGCTCTGAGGCCACTCTGAGGTGTCTGCATTTGATTGTGCTAGGAAGCCTCTGGAAGATTCTATACCATAATAAAAGAGAACCGTTAGGAACACTATGGTTTGGTGAAACCAAAATAGGTGTGGAGTCGATTCCCAAAGAGAGGAATGAAGCACATCGATGGTGTGTGACACAATTTTATGATCTATGAATGAACATTTTTCATTTTTATAGTGATAAATTCATTTTAATGTGCAGTACAAAAAAATATACATAACTAGCCCATGAATTCCACTTATGGGAGAAACATAGTTTCATTTAAAAACAGATGCATTTAAATTAAAAAGCAGTAAGCTGATTTAAAGAAAATATGTTAAAAGTCTAACATGCACACAGATGTAGCAGACAGCCAAGTAGCTGGAGTGGAAATCCCAGGGCCTGGGAAATCCCAGCTCCCTAAGTGGCTGTGTGATCTCAGGAAAAGTGCTTGATCTCTCTGAGCTGTTGTTTTCACATTTGCAAAATGAGGCAGGAGTTTGCTTGGCAGGCTGTGGTAGAGATGAAATCGGGTCACGTGAATGCGTCTGTTTATTTCCTCCTTTCCAGTCCCTCCCTGCTCCCCGTCACAACCATACTCTGGTCCCTGGGAGGAGGAAGAGGTAGGATTTGAACCTGACCTGTGGATCCCAGTCCTGAGCTGATCACAAGCAGTGTTCCCCACTGGCCACTGTCTCCTTCCAGAGCACTGGAGTTCTGATGGAGACCTTCGTTCCTTGCCTGGTCCCACACACGCAGGTCCTGGGTGGGGTTCTCAGTCACTCCCAGTGCAATGCCAGCCTGACCCTCTTGATTTTTTCTACCCACCTGAGGACCGAGCAAGCTCTCCCACCACAACACACACAGACACCACCTCCTCGTTCCTGAATTGTGCCTACGTTATCTTATACGGCCAAGGGCTGTGCAGATGTCGTTAAGTGACGCAACTCCACATGGTGTGTTCCTGGATGGGTGGCCCAATGTCATCCAACAGGTCCCATAACTGAAAGACAGACAGGGATATCAGGGCCAGAGACTGGACGGTGCTACACTGCGGGCTCTGAAGATGGCAGAAGGGGCCACGAGCCAGGAAGGCAGGCAGGCAGCTTCCGGAGGCTGGCAGAGGCCAAGGAATGGACTCCCCTCTAGGGCTCCGTGCCTTGATTCTAGGCTGGGGAGACCCCATGTGGGTCTCCTGGTCTCCAGGACAATAAGGTAACGGTTGATGGCAGTTTGTGACAACAGCCATGGGAAGCCCATAAAGCTGCTCAGCAGAGTCCCCAGAGTCCCCAGGCAGCCGGGGCCCTCTGGCACTGGAGCCACCAAGCACCCATCATGGAAGCCACAGCCCCCAGCCACAGCAGCGCAGCCCTTGACTTCCTCACTGTGTGAGCCTGGCCAGCTGTGAACTTCTGAGCCTCAGTTTCTTCCTGTGCGAGATGGGCTAACGGAACACCCACGTCATGTGTGAAGATCAAACAAGAAGAGGAACACGCAGCGCCAGTGCTGCAGACAGCCTTATTCATACCCAGCCTTTTTCCACCTCAAAAGATGCGTCTGAGCTTCTCCTCGCCACCTCCCCCACCCCCGTACCAGGGATGGCACTCAGAGGCACTTAACCACTGAGCCACATCCCCTGCCCTTCTTTTATTTTTTTATTTTGAGACAGGGTCTTGCTAAGTTGCTTAGAGCCTAGCTAAATGGCTGAGGTTGGTCTCAAACTTGTGATCCTCCTGCCTCAGCCTCCCAGGCCACTGGGATTCCAGGAGTGCACCCTGCTCAGCCCCGACCATGGGCAGAGCCGTGGACACTCAGACCGTCCCAACTCACCAAGATAAGGCTGGGGAATGTTCCACACTCCCATGGTCCCCATGGGGCAGATTAGAACCTTGAAACCAGCTTATAAAACTGTCCTTGGTAAAGTTATTTCAGACAAAAGAGCTTCTAATCTGACTTCGGAGATTATTCCTGAATCCGAAAGTCATCTTTAATCCCCAAAAGCCTGAAGCCCTGGCTGGTCATCCTGCTCAGTAGAGTGCCACTGCGGTTATTAATATTTACACAGAATCTCTGTTTCCTCAAAGGCACAATGGCTCTCGAGCTTTCTTTGTTAAGTAAGAAGAACATTATTGGAACTTCCCTCTCCACCCACAGGCCTGGAGGTAAAAATAAACTCCTTGATGCTGCCAGGTTTCAAACTTAAACAAAGCTTTTGCGAGTCACGTGTCCTTTCAATTACTCTAGATGAAGCACTTAGGAGCTCTTGGGTCACAGCAAGTGTCACGGTGGGGGCTTTTTTGATTACAATTGTTACTATGATTATCTCTGTTCTCAGTTAACCCTGACTGGGGGGCGCCTCTTGAGCCCCAGAGGGGTGAGGAAGGCAGGGAGAGCTGTTGTGTGCTCCTGGCAGACCCAGGGGACAGTGACCTACTGCAGAGCAATAGCAGCAGAACCCCTAGAAAGCAGGTCTTCCTGGGGACTGCTGCTTAGGAGGCATGCCAGGGAGGGAACAGCGAAGGGCAGCTCCAAGGAAGGTCAGCTTCCTACAGTGACCATCGGGCAGCAGGAGACCCTGACTTGAGGCCATGTGGCCCACACTCTGCTCTTCAGCTGGGCAGTTTAGGCATGATACTGCCTCAGGTTCTGCAGGCCGAGACCCAGGGTAATGGCCCCGGAGGCCAGGAGGAACGCTGGCCCTAAGTACCCAGGGCAGCCATGCCGGTGTCCTCCGGCTGAAGCTCAGCTCCAAGCACTCCCCGGGGTGCAGCACTTCGGGCCGTGGGCGCAGTGCAGTTGAGGGCAGCGGAACACTGGCTTTGGAGCTGGGGGAGCGGGCTCCCCTCTTGCTTCCCAGGGGTGCTGGGGTGCCAGGGGTGATCCCTGTCTCCTCAGTGTCTGTCAACTAGCCCTGAGCTTGGGGTCTCAGGCCCCTAGAAAGTAGGCAGGTCAGGGACACACCTGCTACTAACACCCCAGAAAGAAGAGCCTGTGAGGGCATTTCCCCCAGATAGGGGATTTTTATCTAATCAAACAAAAATAACACCACCACACAACAAAGTGATAGGTCTCGTCCAGGGTAAGGGTGGAGAATTAAAAATAAAAAACAAGACAAAGGACTACTATTTATGCTTTGGCCAACGTGCTATTAGGCACTTCTAGGAAACCTACAATCTTTTTCATTTGAAAGGGACAGACTCCATGTCTACTCATGGTCCTCACGCCTTTCGAAACTCCAGCCAGAAACATAGTTACAGTGGCCGGAGGAACAGAAGTCATTTTGGGATCATGAGGACAAAAATGCCTTATAATGTGAGAAAAGGAAGCTCTGTCCGGGTCCCCTGACTTCATTCACAATTCAACAAGAGGCTTGCTACAGGTGTCCAGGACGTGTTATCACACACCCAAGGCCCCTCCTCTCACGGAGTGAGCACCCTAGTGGGGAGTCAGTACACGAGGACATTCATATAAAGTGACGATTCTCAATCGTGCTGTCCTAGCTTGGCTTCTGGTCTTAACTAGAGCACAGCTTTGCCACCCGACTTGGGGCTGGTCACTCTCCCACTCCAACCTCTGTTTTCCTGTCTGTAACATCAAGGAGGTGTCCAAATCCACCATCTCTGAGCCCTGTCCCCCTCGGCCAGGCTCTGGGGCCAGGTGAACTACTCTAAGCGGCTAT